GCTTCCTACTAGGGCAGTGGTAGAGACCACATGTAGGGACTGCAAGAACCCGGGTCTCAGTGCTGGGTCCAGTTTCCTGCTGGATCTCTGGTTTATGTTAGTAGTGATTTCACTTCAGCATCAGTCACCTGATGCTGTCCTCCCATGACTCACAGGAAGAGGTGGCATTAGCCCAATGTTTCCAGAGGAAGAAATCCAGGGCCAGGGGCAAAGAGGTTCTCTGAGCCACATAGCCAGTAAATGCCAGAGTGGGGGTTTTACACTTTATTCCATACCCTATCCTGTCTCTGATGTACCACCTGTAGTGGCAAAAGTAAAATGGCACTGTTCCCCAAGTGATGGTTGTGGGCAGTAGGAACAAGACTATGGTGGGCCATGAAGGTAGCCAGTCCCAAGCAGGGAGCATCCCCAGTGACCCATGGGCCATGAGGGCCAGCAGGTCCTAGGCAGGGAACAACATGGCAGGTGAGAGACCAAGCTAGAGAAGCCAGCCCCACAAGGAGCTGCAGCTGTGGCAGGTGAGAGACAGTTGGATAGGAATACCATGCAGAGCGAGGTTGGATATTTATTTAGTGGGTTATGGAAAGGAAGGGAAAAGGGGAGATGAGAAGAAAGAGGCAGAGAGAGAAAGAGAAATGGGGGGTGAGAAGTGGGGGAGAAGTGCCTGCCTCAGCGGAGTGGGGGAGGGAATGGGTCGGGCTTGTCTCCTAAAGGGACAGGACAGACCATTACACCCCCCACACCCTCAATAAGATGATCCTTGTTAACATAGACTGGGCATGCCTCTCATGGAGTATTACCCCAGTGGTAACACTGGGCGCTCTCTCTCTCTCCTTCTTTCTCCCCTTCCCTCCCTCTGTCTCTATCACTGTCTCTGTCATTCCTTCTCTCTCTGTGCCTCTCCGTCTGTATGTCTCTTCCTTCCTTCTCCTCTTTCTGTCCCTTTGTCCATCCCCTCTCTTTCTAGGATAAAGTTATGCAGAGCTGAACCAATTACTTTTCTTATTGTACTCACAGAATACCTGGCAGAAACCACGTAGGGAGGGAGGGGTTGGCCCTTGCTCACGGTTCAGGGATGCCTGGCTCACAGACCAGTGGCGGGTGGCATTGTGGCAGGCAGGAGAGTGAGGCAATGCATTCCATCTGGCTGGCAGCCAGGAAGCAGGGAAAAGCAAAGTAAAAACCTTTCTCCTGCTCACTTTTCTCTTTTCATTCATGACAGGGCTGGAGTCCAGGGTACGGTGCTGCCCACAATCAGTGTGGCTCCTCCTTCTTAGTTAACCCTCCGGGGACATTCCCTCACAGTCACACCCAATGGTGTGCCTCAGTAACACCTTATGTGTCTATTAATCCAATTAAGTCAATCTGAATTAATTAGACTTAACCATTTAATCAAAATTAACTATCACAAAAGTTCCCTTACAATAGGAAGAGAGAATATGCTTGTGGGTACACACACACACACACACACACACACACACACACACACACATTGCACTAGAAACAGAATTCAAAGCAAGAACAAACCAGAGGAAACACAAGTAGACAGGTAAAGGTCTTATCCTGAATATATGAAAATGTACATTAGATTAATAAAGCTAACAGAAGCTGAGCAATGCTCCGGGAGACATAGTTGACAGGGAGGGGCCCCTATGTCTTGACCAGGGTGACATTTCAGGGAGTTGGTCACTATAGAGGTCACTGAGTTACACACTTCTGCTTGGTGCCACTTACATGAAGTCCATTACAGCGCAATAAAAAGAAAGAAACCATATAACTGCAATACAAATTCAAAAGTGTTTCATTTCCAGATAAAAAGGTCTTTTCGAGTTTGCCATTAAATTCACGTAAGCAGACCGAGTGGTTTGGAAAGGCAATGTCTAGATTATTTGAATACAGTCTGTGAAAGGGACTTTCAAGAGAAGCCATATCTTGGGTGGCTTTATTGAGCAGCATTGATGCCCTTGCCACCGTCTGCCATCCTGTATGAGGTCCGGGAAGGTGCCACTCTTCTCGGACCTTCAGTTCCAGCCACAATCTCATTGGAGCAGTCGGAATGTGCAGTCCACCTAGTGACATTTGTGACCCTGTCCACCCTGGTCTGCTCTAAGGCTGGAAGACGACACAGTACGCTCCCCTCACCTTTGCTGTGGCTGCAGGTGCTCAGGGGAATGAACAGAGTTGTGAGAAGCAAGTGGATCCTGGCGTTGGATCCCTCTGGGGGGAGCAGGACAGTGATTAACTTGCCTGGGGAATTTCGAAGGCTACTCTGCTGGGCACCTCAGGGCAGCTTACCTAACCCAGGTAATGCCTTGCCTCCCGTGCGTCATTTTTCAAGTCTCCTCGGTCCTGAGCTTCCAATATCCCACTTCATCCAGACTCTTTCAGTGGGATTATATAACCCCTCCAGACTCTCCCAGTGGAACCAAATAACTCCTGCTTGGACAGGGAGCAGAGCCAGACTGGATTCCCTGAAGGTCTGAAGGTCTACTTCCTCATCATGTAGAGAGGGCCCCCTGTGTGTGCATACACAGCTCCTCACGGGACCCCAGCAAACACCTTGTACCTCTCTCCATCCAGGACACGTGGCTGGTGACTTCCTTAAACTGTGTCTTCCATGGCTGCTGAGGAACAGTTCTGTTCCTTCCCCCATGGTAGGGAACTGATCCTGCCACTATATTGTCCTATCTTGACTTCCCACTGGTTATGAACACAACTGTGGCTGGATTGCTTTCAAGAGCTCTTTCTTATCCTCCTTAGATGGCCTGGTACCTCCCCTTAAGGTGTGCAGTCTTTGTTTCCTTTGTTCCACCTCCCGAGGCTTTGGCTGAGTGTCTAAGGCTATCAGAGGAATCAGAGGGGAGATCCTGTTGTACAGGAATGACACTATGCACAATGGCTGAGAGAGGCCACCTGTTCCTATGACTGGAAACGTCTTGAAGTCAGAGACCATGTGGATCTTAGTGGCCCTCACACCCAGCACAGCACACAGCCTTTGTTAGTAGATAAATAAGAAAGAAAACAGAAAAAAGTACTAATGCTGTTCAATGTATAAATTCTTTGGGAGAAGGAAGTGATTTTACATGACTAGGTCATTTGTCTGATCTCATGCTTTTAGAAGCTCTCCCTGAGCCCATGGAGAGGAATATCCGAATGGTTCCTCCACTGGCCATTCAGACATTCCCCTGATTGGAGGAAGAAAACTGTAACCAAATGTCACAGTCACACCTCCTTTTCAACATCATTTCATGTCTGTGGCATTTCTCAAGTAGACAGAGTCTCTTCAGAATAACCAATCAATAGACAACTCGGAAACAAACAAACACAGAATTGCCCTGAAAGGTGTCAAGTCTGTGACAGTCTCACGAGCGAGGCACAGATCTTGGTTGACTTGCCAGCCTCGAAGTTCCTCAGAAGATCACAGTGAAGTTATGCCAAAAACAGCATAACCCTGATACTTTCAGAAACCTGAGAATTGTGCAAATAATACACAAGGCTTTGCAGCAGGAGGTGTGTGTGTATGTGTGCGCACGTGTGTGTGCACGCCTGTGTGCATGCTTCATGAAAATACTTCCTCTCACAGCAATATCAACACACGCATTGTAGTGTTTACACTACAGCTTGTGGGCCTATTGGCAGACACAGCCCGTGTTTGGCTTCCTTTGGAAGCAAATGACAGAAAATGATTTTGTGGAGAAAGTGAACAGTGGCAGACGTCTGCCGTGTGCTCAGCACCACAGAACTAGTAGAATGAAGACAGAAGCCCAACGGCATGGGGCAAGTATGTCTGTAAAGTGTGCTTCATGGCTAGCTGCAGAGAGACAAAAAGAGCAAGCATCTCTCCCATCTTTACCAGGAGAAGCTGAATTACAAACATCCGTGTTGTACTTCATGCTAAATGCAGAATTGTGTCACATATGTGGTCAGAGCCACTCGGAGCCTGGTCTTTCTAGCCAACACTCATTATAGACTACTAGCAAGCTTGGAGTCCAGGAAAGCCTGACATGGAGCCCCTAAAAGACTGCGCATACTCAGAACCAACAAGGTAAAGAGGGGACTGGCTTTATTGTGCAAAGGGGAAATAAATTCTACAAACCTTTTGAATTGAAAACTGTGAGATTTCTTAAAACTTAAAAACAGAGTACTAGGCGAACAATGAGGGCTGATGAGACACCAAGGACAATGGCAGGGGGTTTTGATCCTACTTAATGTGCTGGCTTTGTGGGAGCCTAGCCAGTTTGGATGTTCACCTTCCTAGATATGGACGGAGAGGACCTAGGACTTAACACAGGGCAGGGAACCCGGACTGCTCTGGGGACTGGAGAGGGAGGGGGAAAGGAGTGGGGGGAGGGGAAGAAGGGTGGGAGGAGGGGGAGATGGGTGGGAGGAGGGGGAGAAGGGTGGGAGGAGGGGAAGGGAAATGGGAGGCTGGGAGGAGGTGGAAACTTGTTTTTTTGTTTATGTTTTTTTTTCTTCTTTTCGCAATAAAAAAAAAAAAAACAGAGTACTAGGAACCAAAACAATAAAAAGACACAAGTTAAGACTTTGTGAATTTTGCAAATTTTGTGAATTGGTCCAAGAAAGCCCTCCCTGACCAGATAAAAATTATGTTTGGCCTTTATGGGGAACTGTGGTGTTTGCCTCCAGGGGTTCTGGGTGCTACTGAAGATGGAGGCCTCTGAGGCACAGGTCCACTCTCAGAGGGGACCCTGGGAAATTTAACCCTGGGATTCTCTAGTGCAGTTGTGACCGTTGCTGTAGTGTGAAAGAGGGTGCTGCCTTGAAGATGGGGGAGCTCCTGCTTACCAATGTGCCTCGGATTATCCGTAGATGTGAAATAGCAATGTTGGAAATACATATGCCTTTTCTTTACATCTTCTCTTCTAACTCCCAGGGCTTCTAACCACAGTGTGTCAGGGGATAGTTTATGTGAGTAATGACTGAAAAAGTTCACTTAAACACAAAATCCTTGAAAGCAGTCGCTGGAACTTCTGGATTACCTGCGCGTGCTTGGAGACCCAGTGGCGGAGGACATTGAGGACTCGGTTGGTGGCCGTTCTCCGTATGATAAACTCCTTGTCACACGTTCTCTCCGTGTTGTTAAATCCTTTGGAGGAAAGGAAACAGGCACTGCAGTTAGGGCCAGTCCCCAGGGATTAGAAAGGTCACTTATTTTAGGACTCCTGTTAATGAAACTCACACAGGCTGCATCTTGGCAGAGAGGAACGCGGCTTATTATTATCCTCTCCCAGTCAGCCCAGGCAGGTACAGGTGCAATTACATGAACAATGCACACATATTTATTAAAGGCCACCGGGGAAAGCTAGGTCCACTGATGACACGGCTATTTAGGCCTCTCATGATCTACAGTCCAAAGCCAAGAGGGACTTGAACAAAAGGAGTGGAGCCAGGGTGGATTTATTTATACCTTTGCCACAAAGCGATTGTGTAACCAGTAGTATTTGAAGATGGATCTTGGCTTGTAAGTGAGACCCTCTATTGTCCACCTGCAGACAGTACAGCCAGTGTTTGAAAAGAAGTATTCCAAAGTTGCTAAAAGTATGGATTCCACATGTTTTCAGCTCAGAAGCCTTATAAGTACCGGAAAGATTTGTTGATAAGTTCTAATCACTACACGATATAAACATACCAACGTATTTATTTTAGACTCCGTAAGTAGATAATATTTATGTAATTGTTGCTGGCCAATTGAAAATAAAATAATTCAAAACAAAAAGTCTGCCTGGGTGGAAGCTTTTGCCCTTGAGTTCTGGTAAATTATATTAATCTCTGATATCCATTATGTGCCTGTCTTATAGAGCTGGTGTGGAATTACACTTGCTAACTCTGAAATGTTTGTAAAATACCACAGTAACCTTGGGGAAGGACTGGAGGGGAAATGGGAGGGTTTACTAGGGGGTTATGGGGAGGAATATGCTCAATATACTGTATTTACTTGTATGAAAAAGTCCTGTAATTCAGTACCATGAACAATACACAATAAAAATAAAAAGTAAGCACAATATGCTCTTTTCCCAACTCACTACTTTCCTGCATAAAAGTTATATACAGTGTTTTTTCTTTTATTTATTCATTTAATATTTTAAAGTGTCATATGACCTGCTAATGGGGACTGAAATCAGATTAATGCACTGTGACCAGCATTAAAGACATGAAGTAGATGAGGGCCATCTGCATATGTTACCCATAGGGATGGCGTGTATTCTTTAGAGAACTTATACATATGTATATGTGTGGTATGTGTATATGTATGTATGTGTGAGTATATATGTGTATGAGCATATGTGTGTCTATGTGCATAGTGTATGTGTGCATGTGTATGTTTTTATGTGTGCATATGTGTGCATGTGTATGGGTGTGTGAGTATATGTGTATGTATGTGTATGAGTGTATGGGTGCATATGTGTAAGTGTGGGTATGTAGATGTGTATAAGTGTGTATGTGTTTACATGTGGGTCTATTTGTGTATGTATGTCTGTGATCATGTGTGTTCACTTGTTTGTGTGTGTGTATGGTGTGTTTGTGTGTGTGTGCATGCATGTGTATGTATGATGAGTTATAACACATATCTCCTAGAGTGAATGAAATGAGATTTGAAAGCAGATTATAGGACTGACTGATCAGTAGGTCTATGCTTAAATAATCTACATTAAAGTTGAGAACCCCTGGGAGGAAGGGTCCATTTCACACCCAAGAGCATCTTCTCTTGCCACATCTGCTCCATCGCTGTCTTTCCATTCTCCACCTGATGCTCCACGCTGGCTTTACTGATCATTCATGGATCCCTCTGTTCTCAAGTGGGCTAGTCAGTTCTCATGCTATTGAGGTTATAATATCTCTATCTCTATCTATCTATCTATCTATCTATCTATCTATCTATCTATCTAACATAGCCATCCCTTGTGGGTTTCTATGAATGCCCACATCTTCAAAATCCCCCCAAAGTATTCTTTCAAGACAATGGGAAGTAATTCCATCTTATCTCAGTAACATATCTTTCTCTCCTGAGAAACATATCCAATGCTCAGGTTTATAGCTCTTTCTCCCTAACTGCCCTCGCTAACCCTCCTATTAGCTTACGGAGACAGCTATGGCCTGAGCCCTTCAGGAGAGAAACTTTACTATTCTCTGTCCTTGGTTTTTCTCTTTCAGTGATTATACCCTTAAAGACTTACTAGCAGTTGTTGGATTGTCCTCTTTCCCACAAGTCTCCTGTCACCATCCTAGGGCTGAGCACTGCACAAGTGTATTGTAGCTATAGTTCCTATGTTCTATAGCCATGGCTCCTACATGACATAATTATAGCCTCTGCACATGACAGCTGTAGTTCCTGTACCCCACTACCTTAGTTCCTGTACCCCATGGCTGCAGTTCCTGTATCCCACAGTTATAGTTCCTGTACTCCACAGCTGTAATTCCTGAACCCCACTGCCTTAGTTCCTGTACCCCATGGCTGCAGTTCCTGTACCCCATGGCTGCAGTTCCTATACTCCACGGCTCTAATTCCTGTACACCACGGCTGTAGTAGCTATATATAACCTCAGCTATAGTTCCTGTTATGCCCAGATCATGGAGTCCTGCAAAAACCAAATAGGAGACCGAGTCCTGTGTGTAAAAGCAAATATTCACGCTTACATGTGGACTCTCCTTCTGTCTGACACAGCAGTTGAAAGCAGAGAGTCTCAAGACCAGTCAGGGTAGTGTTTATATAATAGCAGAGGTTGGGGTGAGGGGATTTCCAGGTTTCAGGACCCTGATTGGCTGACATTTGTCTTGGCAAAAGGGGAACAGGTGAGTCCTACACTCAGGGACTTCTGGTGATCTTATCTAATCTTATCTAATGGTTGGACTTCCCGTCTAAGGTACCTCCCCTTAGATGCTGGCTGTCCCTGTGTGGTGCCAGCTTATGGCTTTTCCTGGAACCTAGTGTTGCCTGCTATGGCAGCAGTGTGGCCTGGGACCCATTATGTGTGGCCAGGCTGCCCTGGGCCCCACACAGCCTGGGTCCCATTATGTGTGGCCAGGCTGCCCTGGGCCCCACACGGCCTGGGTCCCATTATGTGTGGTCAGGCTGCCCTGGGCCCCACACGGCCTGGGACCCATTATGTGTGGCCAGGCTGCCCTGGGCCCCACAGCTCTTATATATAACCTCAGCTCCATCACTGTCCTCCCATTCTTCTTCCAGCCATAATTCCACGGTTCCATCATTATATTCTGGGAACCTGATGTTTTCCATGAACTGCACAGCACTAGGAGACAAATTCTTTGCTCTTGTGAGGTTTCTTTCTCTAGTGGGCATGGAGAGAACCCTCCAACCAATTAAACATGGAACAGATAAAATCCCCAACCATGGTGATGAGTTCTGAATATCTGAATATCTGGGCATCATCCTAAACACCCCTCCCTCACCACTCCTCCAATGCAAGACCTAATTAATATCCCTTTCTATGGAATACATATAGAATGTATCCCTAAGAGTGAAGAAGTGATGTATGCTACATCACAACCTAATAAACTGAAGAAAAGAGGTCAATGCAGACAGGCAGATGTGCACACTTGCCATGCTGAACATTAGGGTACCAGTGAGCCTATGAGTGATAGTCTTCAGAGACGTGATTGGGAGGATAGCCACTTGCTGTGGACATCACTGGTGCACACAGCTGTGTCCAGTTAATGCACTGTTAGCAGTCCTTTGTTGGCCAAGGACTGAAAACTCCACTCAAAGCAGGTAGCAGGAGAAAGGGAATTATTATTTTGTACACATGAAATAGTTCTCAGTTCTGGTCCCTTCTATCTTACTCAAGGCATATAATGACATTGCTGTCTGCTTCTTTTCAATTCTAAATATTCTCTCATTTTTAGGTAGCAAAATGAGGAAGGTTTTGCTAGCCTTGCAAGTCCAGTTCCCACCATGCAGAGGGTAAGTATGTGCTTTCCATAGCATCTGTTGAAGAGAGGTGATGCTTTTGTATTAGAAACCCTCCAACATATCTTATATTTTGCTAGGAAACCACATTGTCCATCTCTGATGAGCTCATAATTATAACACAGGCCTGGGGTAGGTAAGGTGGCAGAGCACAGGTTCAGAACATGAAGGGGCATGTTCTGAAGGTCTTTAAGATGACCTCAGCTTCTTCAGAACACGGAATCGCCCTTGGAATGTGCTTTTGTGCCCCTCCCCGGTGTAGCAGATAGGAGTGGGTTTACTTCAGACTATTCTTCACAGCTGCCTATTGTTGTTTGTGTGCCTCTACAGAAAAACATACTTTCGCCCCATGTGACTTGCCTGCCATGTGTGCTTGGCCTTGTGATTGGACACTTTCCTCAGGTGACTCCCCCTCGCCCTCAGAGTGTAAACTGTCTGATGCTCTGAAGAAAGCTGGTTTTGGCCTGAGACTGTAGACTGCCTCATTTGTGGGCTCTGCTACCCCAGGCCCCACTGCCTCTAGAGCGGTCGGCATAGCAAGGTAAGCACATCCTTACAAAGTGGGGCAGAGAATCTTAGTGGGTCTGGCATTATTTGAGATTAAAAACACACAGAGAATGTGGAAATCAATATATCATTGCTTTAATCTCTCAGGAAAATCAGTACCCAAAACTGTCAGCTGAATTGCTTTTATAGATTTTTTTTGAAAAATACATGCTTTAAGATTCCCAAAGGAGCGACTATACATTGAGTTTAAAATGGATTAAAAATCTTTTAGTATTACACCTTTTACTTCTCATGATTCCACATGTATTCCCCATTCTTTACAGATAAGGAAACTGGGGCTTACTGAAGTCCATGGCACCTATGGTGACAGACAGTAGAAGGATGACCAAGATTGACAGCCCATGTCACAGGGTGGGTAATCTGGCCATAAATATTAGTTCTTGTTCTTGAGAATACTAAGCTAGGCAGAATTAGTCAGACATGGACGGACAAATGTTGCCCAGTCCCACTTCTATGAAGCACTGAGAACAGGAAACTCTATGAGGCAGAGGTGAGAGCTAATCTAGGAGCTGAAGGGAAGGAGACAAGGGAAGCATTGCCTAACCCTAGCAGGAGCAGAACTTGCATAATGAGAAGCACTAAAAAATAAATGT